GGTCGCGGATCTTTCCCAGGAACCTCCACTAACATAGCGGAGAGGTATAATCGCTTTCACAAGCTTCAATCACATTGAGCTCGAGCATTCTTTCAATCTCGGCCTCAATACAGGCACGCGGACGCGGCGATACTCGATTCGCTTTTGACCGCACGGGCTGAGTGGCCGTAAGTTCTATGTCATGCACTACCAAATTTGCTCGGCCTGGTTTCTCCGAGAACATTTCCTCATATTCTATCAGGAGGCTTTCTAGGTCACGCTTCTCGTTAGCTGTGGGCTCAGCTACCTCAACCATGACCTTGAGCGTTTGACCAACGTTATCCTTCTTTTTTGCCGCTCCGGAAAAGGGGAAATCTAGTGGTGGCTCTTCGGGCGCGTTTACCGCCATGTTTACGACTACCTCTCTCTCTCTCTCGATACGGTTTGAGCAGATTTCTGTGGTAGATCTGCTGCGTCTTACGTCTACCTGGCATCCTTTACCAGATAGTTTGTGTCGCACAGCCTCTGCACGACTTTCACCGGACCTTCCCATTGGACATCTAGCTTATTTTGTGGTGAAGGTTTCAGCCGCATTACTTGATCTCCAGCTTCAAACCAGAGTGATCTTGCCGACCTGTCGTAGTAGCGTTTGGCCCGAGCCTGTGTCTTGCTCATCTCATCCCCTGCCAGCTCCAGTGCTCTATGCAACCTTTCTAGTAGAGTTAGCACATATGCAACCACCGTAGGGTCCTCCGCTCGACCTTCCCATTACTCCCGAAAAATACGGAGTGAAGATCGCAGAGAGCGACCGTAGACCAATTCTGCCGGGGTAAATCCAGTGGCTTCATGAGGTGCAGTCCTGAGCGCAAACATGATTGCTGGCAAGCACACATCCCAGTTGACTTTGCGCTCAAAGCAGAGCGCTCTAAGGACGCGTTTCATTACCGAGTGTAACTTTTCTACTGGGTTTGACTGGGGGTGATACACCGAGCTGTGGATTAATCGGATTCCAAATTTCTCTAAAAAAGTTGTAGCCAGTGCACTCGTAAAAATGGTTTCTCGATCGGACTGTATTTCAGCGGGAAAACCAACGCATGCGAAAATAGACAACATCGCGTTTACCACTTCTACCGAGCTCAGTTTCTTTAAAGGCACTGCCTCAGGAAACTTGGTCGCGGGACAAATTACTGTTAAGACATGACAGTAACCGGATGTTGTTGTTGGCAGAGGCCCTACTGTGTCGATCACGAGTCGACGAAAAGGCTCAGTGATCACCGGGACGAGCTTCATTGGGGCACGAACCTTATCCCCTGGTTTTCCTACACGCTGACAGATGTCGCAGGTTCTGACAAAATTCTCCATTTCCCGGAAACAACTCGGCGAATAGTATTCCTGGAGCAGGCGATCCTTCGTTTTTTTTACCCCCAAGTGACACGACCATGAGCTACCGTGAGCTAAGTGTAAAAAATCACGGTGGTAACGTTCCGGTACCACTAACTGATCAAACTGCACCCGTCTGCGATCTACATACTTACGATAAAGTACCCGGCCCTGTTCTGATACATCACGTTTTTCTTTGAAATACCCTCATTACTCTGACTCCTTATATTTTGAAGAGTGGGGTCTGCTCCTTGCTGCGCTATAAGGGAAGATCGATCCACTCCCAGCAAAGTCTGCAGGCTACTAGATGCAGGAGTAATCATTTCCTCACAGACACTTCCAGATTCAAGAGGGTCTTCCTCGTTTTCATCCGCGCCTTCATCGCTCACTTGATCAGTGCTTGGTGTGATCGTGTCTACCTTGTTCGTGGGCTCTCCATCTCTGGCTTTTTCTGTGATTCTCGAGGGAACATCGAGCGGTGCGGCTCTAGCTGCGAGTTCTTGCGCCTTTGAGCGAGTGAGTGCGCACACAATCCCATCCCCGTACGCTAGGTTCTTCTGTCCTAGCCACCAATCGGATCTGTTTAAAAACAAGTATGCATACTGCTTTGGCAAATAAGTAGATACTGCAGCCTCTGTGTGCAATGCGCCAAAGGGGCCCTCGATGCATACCTTAGCAATCGGAAGGCATACGCTTGATGGTTCCACTGCTTGTTTAATTCCAAGCGCACTCTCCTGTGAAATGTTCAGCTTCAACATACGAGGGATGGACCTCGTCCATTCTCGCTGCCAAATCCCGCAGTACACGACACTCTTTTCTATTTACTATCAGATCTCTGATATATGGCTCCAGCAGTCGCATGTTTCCACCCTCGCTGTCGACTGAGAGGCAAACAACTTTTAGACTCTTGCAGATGGCCGCAATGTGACCTGGCTTGTGGCATTTATCGCACACAAGTGGTCGCCTCTTTTCAAACGCACTGTTTTGGTGCTTTTCCTCAACCGTGGTCTCATTACTTACCTCCCGTTGCTTTTCGGGATCAGTGTTGCGCTCTCGATTCTCTTGGACTGAATGTCCCCTCCACCCAGTTGCCTTTTTGATCTGGCCCTCCTGCTGGGGAATTTCTCTTCTATCAAGAGCACGGCGCGAAACAAAATCCTCCGCTAGCTCCGCGGCCCTCGACACAGTGGTTACTTCCTCCCTGTCTTGCACCCAGAGCCTACCGTCTTGGGGCAAACGAGGGTAAAACTGCTCGAGTCCGAAACACTCCACAATTTTCTCTTTATGCTCGAACGCCTTAGCCTCTTTGAGCCACTCCCTCATATTAGACATTACCTTGTATGCGAAATCAGCATACGACTCGTCTTTCTGCTTTACGGCGTTCCGGAACTTCTGCCTGAATGCTTCTGCTGACAATCTATACTTCTTTAGCAGGCTCGACTTAACTTGGTCGTAATCATTTGCTTCCTCTTTTGTCAAGCGGGCAATTACCTTGGCAGCCTCACAGGGTAGTAGGGTAAGCAAGCACTGTGGTCACATCGTTTTGGTAACAAGCGCCTTCTCGCATGTGTGCTCGAAATATAATAAGAACTGACCCATGCCCTCTCTGGAGCGGTAAGGTTGCATTAGGTCTTTCATCCTGAACGACTTCCATTCTACTCCGCTAGACGCTTCGCTACCTTCACTACTACCTCGAGCCTTGAGCAGCTCAATTTCAAGGCGCTTCATCTCAAGATCCTTTTCTGCTACTTTGCGTATGAGCCTCTCATTTCTCTCTTCAGCTTTGCGCCTTTCATGTTCGTCTATCAGCTCTAGAAATTCTGAGAGCTCGTCGTCGTCTGCGTTAAGGTTCTCAACAGTCCCTATAATCTCTGGTTTTCTCATGTGTTCACGAACATCCAAACCCAAACTTTTAGCTAACTCTAGCAAAAGCGGTTTTTTCAGTGCCTTCAGATTCATGGTTGCTACAAGTGCTGCTAACTTCACTACTACTAGGACGCTACGTTCCCATGCACAGGTCAACGTAGAGTATTTATCCAAATTTACCACCTTTCCTGCAAAACTCTACATAAAGCCTGGTAAAATCTCAGTGAAGAAAAGTCAAGCACTCACCACACCCTGCAGCCATGATCTCGGCGGAGACGATCCAGATGCTGGCCCGAACTTGTTGCGACTTGGCGTGAGCAGAATCTCGTCGCTGCCATCCAGTTGTTACGAGCCGCGTCGGTGGCCGCAGCGGACCCAGAAGGTAGCATGGAGCTGGGTGTTCGTCGTCATTTCGCAAGCCACGGGGACGTTCAGAACTCCAGAGAGCTGAGGCAGAGGGACAGGCGTAGAGAAAAACTTATCAAGACGCTTATTTGCAACATTTTGGACAGTAACGTCCGAACGACGACACTTCTCACGACTCTGTCTGGTTTCCTTCTGGCGGGCTGCTGCCGCTGCCTCGCCGTGCAGTTCCGAAGATAGGTGCGGAATGTCTCTTCGGGGAATCAACCACTCATGGAGAGAGCAACACAAGTATCCCTTCACACACGTGGCAGATTCACGTGGCACACGCGCGCGTACTCGGAAGCGACCATGCAGGAGAAATTCACGGCAGTCGCTCCTGTAGCACACAACCGGCCTTCCGCACATTCCAGAGGGGCCCGCCCGTCGCCACTGCCCTGCAGGCGAAGCGCACAGCGGAGACAAATACAGCCGGTGCCGGTGACAACCCGCACCCCACAAAAGAGTGTCCGAGATGATGGGAACGCACGCTTGTGGGCAGCCGGCCCAAGGACTTCGTTACTGCTTTGTAACAATGGCAAGAGACTCCTTTTCTGTTGTGGAACAGTTCACTTCCGCCTAAGATAGCGACAGGGTCGCATAACTAATGACTATTTCAAGTCTATCATTCTTCTGCACTAGGATGTCTTCGAGCCCTGCGCTGCTTGCTTTAGTGTGGATTTCTGTGTCGACGTGTTCGCCGAAGTGCGCAAGTACCTGCGGCATCTGCAGGCGCCGTTTCAGTACTTGAAATGTTTTCTCTTGCGGCGTTTCGCACTTGAACTCGGCGTCAGTGTCTGTAAAGTTAGTGAGTGGCTCGGGGATGCGGTCAAAGTTTTTGACGAAACACCTTTCATAAGCGCACATGCCGAAGAACTGACGCCTGGCCTTCATGTCGGTGGGGGGTGGGAATGCAGCGATGGCTGTTGTCTTCTGCAGGCCGTTGCGTACTCTGAACTTGCTTATCATGTGACCCAAGAACAAGAGTCCATCGTATTCAAAGCGGCACTTCTCTGACATCAGAGTGTGTCCGGGGGTCTTAATTGCTTGAAGTAAAGCTTAAAGGTGTCGAGGATGATCGTACAAGCTTCAGGAAAACACGACGACATCGACCAAGTCTGCCACTGCAATGTAGCCAGCATGGTGCTCATAACACGCTGGACAGAAAAAAATTAGTGGACAGTACTTGTGTGTCGGACTGTTTGGTCGATTCTTCTTTCCCGTAAGGAGCCATATCAGTTCAATGAGATTGATTCGGCATGATTGACTGAAAAAATCATTGCGGTGCTGTCTCACAGTTCTAAAGTGTTCTACCGCTTTTTTTAGAAGGTGCATAACGGAAGACATTCTTGCGCATGTTTTTTTTTTAACAGATGCGGATTGAACTGGCGGAACTTGCATCAGAGAAGTCTACGGCGCTGCATCATAGGACGCAGGTACATAATTTGCAATAGGCACTTTTTTATTGCTTCTGGCATTGCGCCGTGAATGTTATCAGCATGTGCTTTCTCGAGAGATATTTACAAAACACGTGTGTTCCACCTTGATAGCGCCTCTTTCCCTCTTAGAGAGACAGATAAATTTATTTACAGAAAGGCAGAGAGGTCGGCCAGAGCGATAGCTTGCTCTAGCCTGCTACTCTACACTGGTGTAAGGGAAAGGGGAAAATAAAGATTAATGAATGACGACGGTGAGATAGAGAGGTGAGTATGTAGTGTTCTTTCTAGCTGAGACACATTTTATAGCCGCGCATATAGTCCAGTTGTTTCCAAAAAGGTTATAACTGCTCTTGTGACCGCAGTTGCACTGTTTACCTCTTTCTTACTTTTCATGTCTTTATTACTTCACCCAAAGTAGGCCATCAAACCAGACCCGCACCTTGTTGACATTTTTGCCCTTTCCCCTCCTCCTCCTTGAGCAAATATCAAGGTGTGGTGAGGGCATGGTGATAGTGCTCATCACAAGAGAGCCACAGACTTTATTAGAGCTTCACAGCTGTTTTTGTTAGGTTTAGATTAGCAGAGTGAAAAAAAAACACTGGACATGCAGAGTACTGAATGTGGCGATTTTGTGTTAGGGAAACACTATGAAAACATAGGATTCTGAGTTTAGGCTGGCTGGGATACTCTTCAGCTTGCCTGCACAATTCGTGCTCTCAGATCACGGCTAAGATGTATGCAAATTTTTGCAGCATATATGCGTGGAAATCTGTTAAGTTGATAGTTGCTCGTGGCGTTCACAGTTGTTTTTTATTGGGGGCCAGTATTTTCCTGTTGAAAAACAGTAAATGAAAAGTCAATAAATAGTTCGGTTGATTAGTTTTTACATAGAGGTGACCGGTGGTCTGGTCAAATTTCAAAATGGAACTTCTTACTTCGTAGAGCACTTTGGCGCCATAAAAAAAATATTGCCCGCAGCTTCCCTCGGTGGAACACTGAGGAGGATGCGGAGCATATAATTGGTTAACGGGGTGTTAAAGTGCGACTTACTTGGGTCGATGGCTAAATTGGTTAACGTGGTTGTGAAATGGGGTGTTAAATTGCGACTTACTTGGGTCGATGGCTAAATTGGTTATCGTGGTTGTAGGAGGGGGTGTTAAATGAGTGAACACGTACACACGTATGCGAAAGGGCGGCGCTGGTCGAAGGGACGTCGATCATTGTGTTTGTGGATTCGTTGGAATTCATTTCACCGCGACCTTGGACGTCGACGCGCCGTACAAACCAACCGACGAGCGGCAACTGAGCGAGCGAGCGCCGACCTTGAGTATATATACAGCTCGACGGCGCATGCACTGTCAGCTGTTGAATGTTCTCGAAGCGCGACGCCACATGCGCGTCCACTGGAGAATCAGGAGAATTGTAGATGTCGAACGCGGTGTGTAGAGGAGGAAGGGTGCACAGATGGTGGAGGAGTGAAGCACGCGCGGTGTGTAGAGGAGGAAGGGATGCACAGATGGTGGAAGAGTGGGCGACGGCGCGACGGCGCATGCGCGCGCGTCAGCTGTCGAATGTTCGAGAAGCGGTGCGAACGGCGCGGACGGCGCACTACAAGGCGCGAGTATAAGATGCTTCCGCATCTAAAAGGAACGGGTGCTGTCAGTTTTTCAGGGCTGATGAAATGGTACAAAATACGTCGGCGAAACTGAAAGAGAAGTGTCGAAAAAAAAGAGAAGCAGAAACTGACAAGGCGGGGAGGTTATCTAAAAAAGCTTCCGGTTTAGTAGCGTATATACCGAGAGAGTGGGAAGGCGAACGGAAAGATGCAAAAGAAAAAAAAAGAAAAAAATATCCCGTTTCCCACTACAGGAAGGAAGCGCATGGGTCGACATAAAGTTTCGCTTATCACGAGCACCTTGCCCGATGTTGACGCGTCCTTAACAGAGCAGCATACCATGAGTTCACTGCAGTTTTGTTGCCGTTACTCATCCCTAACTCTTGATGGAGCATGCCCCGTGGTTTCATCGCCATGCCACGCGGGAGCGCCTGAGTTCATCGCGCGTCTGCAGAACCTCGTAGCCCGAGGCCATCACTTTATTTGTGAGAGTGTAAGGGGGATGTCCCAAGCCTTTTACATAGCCACTTGCACAGAACCACACCTGCTAGCTCGTTCGGCCGTGCGTTTTAACGCGAGAGCGTTAAAGAGCTCGTGTCGCAGAAAACCCGCCGCCGGTGTCGGCCCCGTTGGTTGAGAGCGAAAAATCGTCTGTGCGTCTGTGACCGAAAAATTAAGTTACCGAGATAGCTGCGAGAGGCCGCTACTTGTCCATGCGTATGCGTGCGATCACACTGAAAAAGCCACGCATTCGAAGGGAAAAAAAGTGTTAAGGTCACGAGGCGCGGTAGTTTCCTGGCCCTGCCACCCCTCCCTGCTTAGCTTCTAGTGCTTTCGTCGAGACGAGAGAAGAGATAAAACAATGGCAGTATGCGACAAATCTTTGTAACTCCACTTGCACTGGATGGATTCTTAAAATTCTTGCGGCATTCACTTCGTGAGGCAATAAGCTCTTCTAGTGAATTCATTCCATGGTTACTTGAAAAAGTGTTTCAGGGCCCCTTTATCGCATTTTGATCGACAGGTGTCACGACGAAAACGAGCCTGCTTGGTGATCATAGCGCGCGCTGGTCCAATCTACTGTGTGCGTGTTTGGGTGCGTGTGTGTCTATGTAACAAACATATGATAAGTATGTTCGCTATCGCGTTCAATCTTAAAGGCGAAGTAAAGGGTCCGCCAATTTTCTAGAGAAGAGAGAGGGGGGACCATCGGAGAAGTGAGGTAGGGAGGTAACGAGCTTGCGCATTAAGGGTGGTGACGCCGCACAATTCAATGAACTGCGCAAGAAGCTACTATAAAAGAGAAGGATCCCGAATTCGCAGACGTGTGCATCCTAAGTGCAAAACTACCACATCTTATCAGATAGCTGGGGCCAGAAGGGCGACACCCTTTTCAAAAGCTGTTGGAGCGGCGTAATTGTAGCGTTAGTCAACCCAAGTGCACTACTAATGTTAGAAGGCCAACCGCAGCTTGCGCACCGAGGAAGTGACGTATTTTGGTGGCGGATAAACTCACACTCGCTGATTCTACACACGTCGCCACAGAATACGCTAAAGAGCACAGTTGTCCTCTTGGGCGTCTCATGGACATGTATTCTCTCAAACGTCTTCAGCAAGAAAGTCTCTTCTGTGTGTGTGTATATGGGCGGACTTCTGTCTGCTGCGCAACCTGAAGTGCCTAAAATGTCTACCCATTATCCGCAAAATGAATAATATATAAAATCTCATACGATAATGAACAAATAAAAAATTTACAAGCACGTATACGTATAAACTCTACTTAAGCTGGGTAAAAAATGTGATTTGAAAAAAAAGGTACTTTGTTTTCTTGCAGGAGGAAGAAGAGGAGTTGGGCGAACTGAGGCAGAAACTTGCGTCAGCTGAGAAAGTAGGTATATTCCTGTTTTGGGCGATAAAGTGAATCAAAGACCCTTGCTGTATGTTTATGCCTTTCTGCTTCTTCAGCAAGCGTCGCAAGTGCCTCGGCTGAAAGAAGAGAACCGAGCTCTTGGGAAGCAGGTACGTGGCGCCTTTCTTCATTCAACCTATAAGACACACCATAGAGTAACGGCTTATTCTTACTTCTCACCAGTTTCGGCACACTGTGTTACAGAGTAAGTGTTGGGCTGGCTTCAGCTTTTATTCTTGTCTCGTGGCATTTAATACGCTATAATACCATAACACAGACAAGCTATGCATATAGTCAGCAACAATGTGAAGCTTCAGAACTGCATGTGTTTCGGTCAGTTAGTGATGCGTGTTGAGCAATGCAGAATCACACTATACTTTACAAAATAAAAGCCACGTTGGCAGGATAACTCGACACATTTCATTGCACAACAAGAAAGAGGGCACACGCGCAAGCAATTTTGAACCCACTAATAAAAGTAACGGATAAGACGATTTCGAGAAGCCTGTACACAACATACCTATGAAACACGATCGGAACATCAATGTATGGGTTCAAGCTAGTTGTTCCCCGTTTGTCTCCTGTTTTCAATCAAAAGCTTGTGCGCTTTAAGGGGCCCTGCAAGACTTTTTGAGCATGGTCAGCCTCTCGAGGGCACGTGAGCCAAATAATATAGTGCAGCACGTGGCCTGGAATTCACTATAAATTATCAAGGTCAGCCAAAATTTGCTTGCCCTTTTCTCGACAAATGACGGAAGAAGCTAAAAAAATCACGCGTAGAATGCCATCTATCAGTCATTCGCTGCTTTTAATATGACGTGCTCACTCTTTACATGGATCGTTGTGGGAGGCCCTAACTTGTATATGCGTCCGCTCACGATCACACTGAAAAAGTCGCGTATTTGAAGAGAAAAAAAAAGAAAAAAAAAGTGCTGAAGCTCACGAGGCACGCGTGACGTATCTTCTTTGCCCATGCCATTCCCCCGCCACCCCCCACTGCCTAGCTTCCAGTGTTTTCGTCGGGACGAGAGAAAAGAGAAAGTGGTTGCAGCTAGTGACAAATATGTGTAACTCCACTCGCACTGGATGGATTCTTAAAATTTTTGCAGCGTTGTATTCGTGAAGCAATAGGTTTTCTTAGTGAACTCCTTCCGTGGTTATTTGAAAAATTGTTTCAGGGCCCCTTTAAAGCTGTTGAAATATAATCAAACCCTGTGTGTATAACGTGCACAATTTACAGGGGATAATTGTTCCAAACTACAGAAATCCAAGCGAATGTGAGTGACTAATCAAATTTTCTGCGTGAAACCAGAAGTCGATTTTCTTAGCGCACTAATTAAAAAGCAAAACCGTGAGGCTATTTGAGGAACTTTCTTTATCTGCCCTTGCTCAAACTGTCAAACACATGTGGAGCCTGCCGGAATGGCGCATGCAATTGTAATTTTCACCAGTTTAATAATTAACTTGCGCCTAAAATAAGTAAATGGGTTCTTCAATTTCACCATCACCGAAAAACGCCGCTGTGGGCTGAACCTAGCCCGTGTCCTCGAGCGATCAAACGCCAGATCAACGTTACAGCAACAAAAGCACAATGTCAGATCCATGCGTCCATAATATCATGTTCTACGTTGGTTTCTCCAACGCCGATGACGTCGGCTTTTTTTAACTGCAAATTGGAGCGCTATCCCATAGTTGAGTACGAAGTACTCGAAATCGATAAAGATTTTTTCTAAACGAAGTTGGAGCACTAGTTTCCTGTGCAGACATTGATTCGAGCCATCTTCACATTTCACCCCGCTCGCATGCAGTCGCAGCCTGCTCTAAAGGCTGGGTACAAAGGCACTTTGATCTAGTTGGCACATCTTCATCATGGGCAAACTGCACCACGCACTGGGAGGACGGAAGAAAACAAAAACAAAACAAGCTAGAATATAGCTATGTTATATTTGCTTTCATATCTATCTATCTATCTATCTATCTATTATCTATCTATCTATCTATCTATCTATCTATCTATCTATCTATCTATCTATCTATCTATCTATCTATCTATCTATCTATCTATCTATCTATCTATCCGCCGGCATCTGGATGCGCTCATGATCGCCCCCTTAGGGTAAACCAAAAATAATTATGGTAGGGTGAGGTGATTTGAAGAATACGACTCGCTGGTCATGACATTAAGAATAACGCAATTTAGTCACGTATGTTGTCAACAATTTACGCCTAGCAGTGGTGCGTATCTTTGGGCAGGTACACGAGTATGCACAGGAGACTCACATCCAGGAATGGCGAGAACACAATGGCTAATTTTAAGACTTGAGCGTAAAAAAGCTTGCCTCGCAGCGTTACAATTACAACATGGTCATGATCTATGCGCATGCTTCGCGTAACATTGATTCCCATAAGGTACGTAAGATCTGCGGAATTTTTTTCGCTGCTCGTCCCTCGTTCCCGTGTACGCTGTACTTTATGCATGATGTAAAGGCACGGCCTGTTTTGTGCATCAGTAAATATTGCCATTTCGAAGTAATTCGGCACAGAGGAGTGCTGAATCATTCGATACATGTGTGCTTCACCGGTCATCATTTCTTTTCTTGAGAATCTTGATCGTTAATGAGTCATATAAAAGCAACTCAGGGGCAGATTGTGAATCAATATTAGCGCGTAAGCGTTAAAGAGCTCGTTGCGGCGAAATTCCGGCGTTGTTGTCCTGAACATCGTTGGTTGTGAGTGAAAAGTCATCTTGTGCGTGCCCGGAAATCCGAAAAAAGATTCAAATAAAACGAAGAACGAAAATTTTTTGCTTCGAGTGAGGATGGATAATAGGCTGTTCGCGTGGAAAGCAAGTTTTCTACGAGACAACCACGCACCTGCTTGGAAATATCGGTAAAATATCTTCCTCCGCCTGGAAATGCCATTAAAATATATAGCGTTCATGTTTTAGTAACACGCGCGTCCTGTATGCAGGCTCAGTAATACAACATGCAATATTGCATAATATGCTGTATAAAAGTCGACTGTCATCGGACGTCCGAACGTGTGATTATCACAAAGACTTCGTGGTTCAAAGCAAGTCATTCATTGCAAAAGGTAAACACGTTACTGTGCGCATCCCCTCAATAAAGGGCACGTAGTGGGTGCATATCACGTTTTACACATTTTACGCAATATTAGCTCCTGGTTTGAAGCATGCTACCCATCACAAGGAATGCAGCCTTATGCGAAAGCTTCACTGATGCAAGCCACTTCGAAACTTTATGAATCACAATGTACTAACGTATAATTTCGTCTTCTCGTGTAACATCATACAGTGAAAAGTATGCACGAAGTGCTTGAAGTCCGAGCAAGATATTGATGTCGCATTCAAATCTTGAAGGCGACGCTTGAACTTTCCTAATTTTTTTCTTAGCATCATTTAAACGACATTTTCAGAGAGAATTGAAACATCTATGTCATTCTGATGGTTAACAAATTTATGGCTTGAGATTTATTCCTCGCTTGTCAAGTGGATCTGTGTTTTCAGTTTCTCGAGGTGAGATTTCAAAACAGTGGCCTGTTTGCCAACTGTTTTTCTTACTCGTCCCTTACCTGGATTGCTAAATGCTGCTTGTGGAGTCGGATTAGGTTTGACGATGGTATTTATTGACCGGCTGCGTAGAAAAACGTTAAAGACAGAAGGTGCAGAAGCAAGTCGGTCTAGGAGGATGGAGCAATGAAATATGTGTGCTGTCAGCCTTTGCGGCTGCGGATGCAGCAAACTTTCTTCGTTGACAAAGCTATCCGTAAAAATGAACGCGGCCATAGCCCCTCTCGACCTCTTACGATGTGATGGTCATGCGACTGTGCCAGCTCTTTGCGTAACTCAGTGCATCGGCGACTCGGTCACCTTATCACGAATGTAATCGGTGGCAGAATCAAATCGGGACAAGCCGAAACGCCTGGTTAAACCCTACACAGGTCATAACTATAAACATTTTTCACATCTGCTTTGGTAACGTAGCGCTCTTTTGCCATCAAATGGTTTTTGCGCCATAAAACACTATACATCATCATCATTACCAATGTCACTGGTTGGTTCACGTGCAATGTTTTCGAGCATAGTGCTATAATTTACCTTATCCCAAAGTTCTTTTGACGCGTTGAACGGCGGCTCCGCAGCGGTGATCTAGTGACTAGGGTACTCGGCTGCTGACCCGCAGCCGGTCACGGGTTCGAATCCCGGCTGCAGCCGCTGCATTTTCAATTGAGGCAGCATTGCTTTAGGTCCGTGTGCTCAGATTTGGGTGCACGTTAAAGAACCCCACCTGCAGGTAGAAATTTCGGGAGTCGTACACTATGGCGTCTCTCATAATCGTATGGTAGTTTTGGGACGTTAAACCACACCTATTCATCAACGCGGTGAACGACCGAGAAACGAGAGGCGTCTGCTCAGCTCTGCCTTCGCGGTTCATTATATCATTGTTATGGCACTGGGTGTTTGCTGTCATTGAGTAGGATCTCTTGTATTTCATTGTTTATACGAGACACCATCAGCGTTAGTTTAATTACTAAAGGGACCTTTACGCCATGATACCGGGCGAATAAAGCTACCACTAGTACGTTGGGTCCTATATATATATATATATATATATATATATATATATATATATATATAGGCAGGAATGGTGGTTGAGTGGCCGTAGCGTTGCATATAGTCCAGTAGATCCCCCGTGAGCGGTCACAACGTGGTTTATTTCGACGTTTCGGCCTAGAGTCTGGCCTTCATCAGGATCCTGATGAAGGCCAGACTCTAGGCCGAAACGTCGAAATAAACCAGGTTGTGACCGCTCACGGAGAATCTACTATATATATATATATATATATATATATATATATATATATATATATATATATATATATATATATATATATATATATATTACTTTGTTTGCTTTTTACATTTATTTGTATTTTCGTTTCCGCCTGTAAAGCTATGTGAAATTGACAGTAATATAAATGAAATGAAATGAACGAAAAATATTCAGTACTCTTTCCCGAAGAAACTTCCGGTTCACTTAGATGTTCCCACACACACTTCTTTTTCGTGACACGTGTTACCAGCGAGCTGTGTATGGCTTGCCTAAACCGTGCTGATTGATTGAGCAGTCTGATAAGGCTACACGCACTGCGCAAGTTGTCTAGTCTTTGTTTTGTTTTTTTGGAATTTGCATGGTCACCACCGATAATATTGGAATCATTAAGGCTGCGCGCACACAGGCTGACGCGTTTCATGGATGGTCAGGTTATCGTCGAACAACATCCGCGCTTCCGTTATCACTGTATAGCGGGTGTTTCTTCCATCTTTAGCCTTTATGTTTTCAAAATGCCTCCAAATAAAAAATTCGTTTTCATGAGATTTAGCTTTACCCCTTCGCCGTTGCAACGCGTGCCAATTTGCCATCACCGATAAAAACGTACAAAACAATTTATCGTGAAAACATGCAAGTCAAGCTTTTTTGTGCCGGCACTGTCAGAGGGACTATTCCAGGTTATGACAAGTGAGTGAAGCTTCAACTGATTCGAGAGCGTAGTGTTCAAGCAGTGCTATTTGCTACAACAAAGTGTATAGTGCAGTACGCCCAGTCAATCGCATATCTGGGCTTCAGTAATTAGCTTTACTGGGTGAGCTGGTATTTACTTGTGTGACTTCATGTACTATGAAGCACCAACGATATACGTGCTAACAAGCAGGAATCACTGCATGTGGATAAATTTCATTTTTGTTTAGATACAGTAAAACTAGATTTTGCATCATAAATACCTCCGAGTTTAATTATTTGCGTGCAGTCGTATGGGACATTGTCATACGTGTTAATATTCGTTAAAAGCTAAGCTGTCCTTCTTTTTTGCTCTGCTCCTCACTTTTGTTGAGCTGGATAGGGACTGCAAGTATACCCCCTGCCGCAATTATAACGTAATGACAGCGTACCCTGCCTCCATGGGAAACAGTAATTGCGTGGCAAAAGAAGCACCGCTTGACTCATAAATTTATCCGTCTCGTACACTACTAATGAACCAGAGTTAACAAAGATATATCAGATCAGCAGTTTCTCGATAGAGCCCATGTGCTGAGAAGCCGAGCAGCACTAAAGTTTAAGAAAACATAGAGCATTGCCTTTTCCTGAAAGCCTATATAACGTGGAAGAAACCAGGTTTCCATACAAGGTGACAACATTTATTTTGTTTTGTTTCCCTGGGAGGTTGGCTCATACCCACTCAGGGGGATTAGCCAAGAAAGTGTAGTGCAGTTTTTCTGTGATCATTTTAACTATGTGTAATGAATTGGTATTATAATAAGACTAATGTAAAAATAAAAACAACATAAAAAGAGCAAACGAAAAAAAAATCAAGTTGAGCAATTTTGAGGTTTGGAGGTGTTATGTTTACCACTTAGCTGCGTTTACTTCACTCTGCCCTTGGGAGTAATAAATAATTTTTTTTGATTGAAGATCACAAAGGCTTGGTTGCCTGAATATAATCGCAAACGGCATTGAAAGCATCCCTGTGGCAATGTCCCAAAGCTGAGGCGCCAAAGCTTAGCGCCGTTTCCGCCGTAAATGTAAGGCCTATTTTCCGAAATGGCATAACTAGTAACCTTTTTCTAAGTATCTCGTAGCGGCGACAATACAAAAAATAATGATCTAGTGATTCCATTTCTCCGCAGAATGCGCAGAGGGGTGATGTTGTCTGACCAGCTCTGTGTAGATACAGGTTTAGGGGGGGGGGGACACGACATCGAAATTTAGTGATTAAGACCTTTCGATCTTTCTGGACTGACTCCAGTGGGGTTGCCATGGAAACATGAGCTGGTTATAGTCTGTCCATGTAATTACTTTTTCTATCGTATCAGTGGAGATTGCTGATTTTCGATATCTTATAGCCGTGATATATTCTACATCTGGCAGTATGGACAAAACTGGCCCATCAAGTGCGGCTCGTGCTAAGGAATCGGCCAATTCATTTAATCTTAATCCACAGTGACCCGGAACCCATAGTAATCTCAAGAGTCTCAACTGCGGCGGTACTAATGTTTTGAATGTGCTTAGAATTCGAGAGTTCTCTGAGGCTGTCAGAGCTGCACAAACTGAAAGAGAATCCGTCATTATTACTGTATTGTTTTGATTTGATGGAAGTTTTCGAAGAGCTAAAATAATCGCCAAGAGCTCCGCTTCAAAAACTGGAGTAAAATCAGGCAGTCTCACTGAAAAGGACCAGTCAAGCAAATCAGAGGCAATGCCTACACCTGCCTTTTGATTATTTACGGAAGCATCTGTGGCTATTATATTTTTAGTTTTTGCATGCTCCAAGTAATCTAATAATATGTTATTTAAAAATTTGAGGGATTGTATGGTTCAGCAATTTCCTTTTCCTCTTCCAGTCCGTGTTCACCGAGCGATGAGTAGTCCGGCGCATATACAGGACTATGTTAGCATGATAAATAATGGTAGCGTAGACTAAAGACATGGACGAGAGAAGGCACATTCATGACTCCACAGCGCTGTGGTGTACTGACCGTGCCTTCTTTGGTTCATGTCCTTTTTCTGCGCTGCCATTAAGTATCATCTTAGCAACCATACCAAGAAGCCGAAATTGCCACCCTCATAGCACCGCACTTCGGCTAGGCTAGACCACGCCTGTAAATTCAAACAATTTTTTTCTCACAGCGTTAAGTACCGGAATTCAACTCCTGCAGCATCAATATATCAGCGGAATTCACTGCCATTTACCATTGCCACTATCATCATCAGCCTTTTCGTTTAGCGCTCGACTCATTTCACGAGTGAGATAACACTTTTCAATAAATCGCTTCTATAATTGTGTTCTATACTGCACATCATTTTTAATTGTGTTCATTTCAGAAACTGAACCAACGTAAAAAATTATCTTGATGTTGTCGTTATTACTGAAATGGTGTTGTTTCTGCATTCTATTCCTAGTTTTCGTTTTTCAGTACTGTATGACTTAAATATAAATGTATTACAGTGTTTCATAATCCCCCCGTCCCCCTGTGTGTTGCCCTTCGGGTTCTTGTGGTATCCAAATAAAATTTGAAAAAAAAAAAATCATACGTGGACTACTTCTATTGACACAGGTTTCACAGTTAGAGAACGAGCTGGACGAGCTGTCGAATCAGCTGCACCGATCACAACAGGAAACAGACCGCCAGCTGAGCGCCAAGCTACGCGACAAGAATGCACATGTGGCTCAACTACTGGCGGATTTGCAGGTAATCCGCCAACTTCAGAATAGACCAAATGGCAACAAGCAGATAAGCTCTGTTTCTCTTGAGATAGCACTTCGATTAAAAAACGTTGTGCGTTTCAAGTTTAGCGATTTTTATTTATGGCCTGCTGTTTGATTTCTCGCATTTGAGTTCTGATAGACGCCTGAAATGAATTGAAGGAGGCAATGAGCAGGCAAGGAGGTTTGACAAATGTTGCATCAATGCTTGACACAGAGCATGTGTGTCTAGTAACTCCTTTCATAAATTGTAATGAAAAGAAGGAAGATAACGTGAACTAAAAAAAAGATGTTAGAAGCAAGCTTCTACAATATATAAATTTCTATAATTTTGAATATGACATGTTCTTTCATGGCATTCAAATAACATTACAGAAATACACTTTAATTATTATATTAAAGAATTCGGTAATCTGAATAATATAGCTTAAGCTAATGGTACATTCAGGACAGGTCTCAATGTCACCAGTAAGTGCTCGAATACATTTTACACGAGGCGTATGTTTTATGAAAACTATATATGTAGAAAATGTCTGGTCTGGATACGTCGTGTGCCATTTAAGTGCTCAATGTCCGCGGTTTCACTATTGTAAAAAGCTGCAGATACATCTGAAGAGCGTTCGCTAAAAAATTGGGATTTTTCACAGTCATCAGGGATATTAAGGACGATTTCTCGCATCTATCTATCTATCTATCTATCTATCTATCTATCTATCTATCTATCTATCTATCTATCTATCTATCTATCTATCTATCTATCTATCTATCTATCTATCTATCTATCTATCTATCTATCTATCTATCTATCTATCTATCTATATATCTATCTATCTAGCCACCTACGACTTTTAGCTCTCCTGGCCGTTTCGATAATTGTACAGATATTAAACTTCGTATGGCATAACACGACTGTATGAGGAACATATTTGACTAGTCATCACATAAAAATCTTGACATGTATGCCATGAATGTCATGATTTACATTTCATGGTACTGCAGCTCTAGTGGTGGTTTAGTTCGCATGGCATGCTGCAAAACTGGTATGGTATGGCAAGATTGCATGACGAACACAAGCAACAGATCCTAACATGAAAATCATGACATGCGTGTCGTGTAACAACATCACTACATGCCACGCTCATTATGCGCTCACGGCCGTTTCGTTAGCGTCACATATACCAAATTTGGTATTACTGGACGTGAATGGATGACAAAGGTATGATTCTGGTGCAAACATGACAAACGTGAGATGCGTGTCATGTAACAACATGACTACATTCTACACTCATGATGCGCTCGCGGCCGTTTCGCTAGCTTCACATCTACCAAACTTGGTATTACGTGACGCGAACGGACGACATGTGTAAATGACACATCCAAACATGATAATCACGTCATGCGTGTCAAGAAACAACATGGCTACATGCCACACTGATGATGCGCTTGCGGCTGTTTCACTGGCTTTATGCCAAGTTTGGTATTACGTGACAGCAATGGATGAAGAAAATATGTGACTAGTGCAAACATGATAATCATGAGATGTGTGTCATGTGAGAAGATAACTACATGCCACAGTCAAGACGCCAATACATTTCGACGTGACGTGGTGAGCGTGCTCGCCGGCGTTTATTTCGTCGCGTCACGCGGGCGTTGCCACGCCAGGCGCTGGTCCTGCCATAAACTCGCAGGTGCGCACCGCGCTGCGTTGCTTTGACGCATGTGCGTTTCAGCGCGTCCGGCGTCAGCTCTTCGGTCACGAAAAGAGGCACATGCAGTGCTGTCTGGGTAACGCATCGGCGCGGAATGCAGCATGACGAATTTTGTGCCGGTTGCCGTAGGGCCGCGCCGACGCACACTGGTCGCGCCTGGCGTCAGACTATAGAGTGCTCGCGTTTTGCTAACGTTGCGTCGCTGTGCCGAGCGCGCGCACGTGTCAACACTTCATTGGAGTATATCGGGCCCTTCGAGATGCGCTCGCGGCCGTATTGCAAGCTCCACATATACCAAACTTGGTGTTGCGCGACGTCGTTGTATGACGAAGTATAGGACTGGAGAACACATGATAATGCTTACAAGAGTGCCATTAAGAACACGACAACCTATCACGCTCATAGCGTGCTCGCGGCCGTTTCGCTAGCTCCACGTGTACTAATTTTCGTATCACGTGACGTGAAGAGAGGACGAAGGTGGACAAGACATCCAAATGTGGTCATCATCACATGGAAGTAATCTATGGCATCATTTGCCTCCACCTCGTAACGTTCTGCTGAATTTCAAGTGACATAACAACATTTCTTCTTCGTGCTTCGCATATCATCGATTCCCGCTGTACCTGGTTCTGCCTTTTTTATGTAGTGACCTTGGCACTGGCTTCATGTTGCGTTGCGTGTGCGTGTCCTTTGTTTCTTTGTATGTTTTGCCATGCAAAACTGCTTTACCTTAGCCAATGTAGCTTACGCTACAAAGACAGCCAGGCACATTTCAACATAAGATAATCCGAGGACCCTGGGGTTATTTGCTAAATTTCACGCTCTCTAACTACAATAAAAGGGTTACCTAATTAAGGTGCCTCTTGTTGATGATTAGTTCAACAGATGAGTTACACTAATATATAGGGGTTATGAGCTTTTAGAGCTCATGGTTTTTCTCAAACGTTTCATGACAATTGCCTCGACCACCTAGTATATGGGAAGGCGTGGGATAATTCATAGGTTGATTCACGCTATTTTCCGTCTTACTTTCACCATATTTGTGTTACTGCCCATATCATGATAGACTAAGCTCCCACGAAGTGTTTCTTCAAGAAAATTCGTCATTTTCACCAAAAGCATATTTTCAAATGTGGCGTAATCACACAAACACAGAGATTATTTAATAGCAGCAAAATCGAGCTCAGCGTTGCACGTAGTATGATGGCAGGAGAAAGGGGGTTATGCATATTTGAAAATCATAAGGGATTATGACGGCACCCACATAAGAGACATATATTTATTAGCACTATTTTTTCATGTGGCTATTCTCATAGGCGTCGAAGTCAGGTTATTCTTCGTTGACCAGACAGGCTTACTCTGAAATTCTCAGCAATTACAAGATTTGAGAACGTCCACCGGAATTACGGATGTAGAAGTGCGATCTGTGTCACTATACTTATGCGAATAAGTGCGCCAGTTTCTTAAAGTGGTGAAGGGACAAGAGAATGTACCAGAGTGGACGGTGACCTTCGAACCATTGGTACAAATGCCAAACTACTGACCAGTAGTCAGCTCAGAGCTGATGGTTCTGCACTGTATTTTGTGGTATGAATGAATGAATGATCTTTATTGCGCTTATATCTTATACAAAATGAGCACAAACTGTATGGTCCCATAGGCAAAGGCTAGTGTGGTGCCACTGAAAGTATACATACCTGAAACTGTAATATTTCTATTTAAAAATAAACACATCTAAACAATTGAAATTTGATGTCCTCATACAAAAAGTAATGTTTATCTGCTAACAACAGTCACTTGAATTCAATTGAACACAGAAAAAAAGGAAAGTACATAACTTGTAGTAAACACAAATATTTGGTGATTAGTGGCGTACAGAACTGAAGAATGATACTTGTAGTTGCAAGTATCAATAGTAGTTCTCTTATACGGCTTAATAAAGAGAACAAGGGTACTTTTGTATTTTCTGTGGTATGTGAAATCTGAGTCTTCATATGCAAAGCAAGAAAGATAGATAAAACATCGTGCCGCCTTTGATGCGGCACTACATACATATCATTCGGTCAGCGTCCTTCCTTTCACAATGTTGAACCTTACAGGCATGAAAGAACTCAAAGGAACGAACAAAAAACACGAGCACCTGAACCACAATCAGATGGTGTCACGAATACATGCTGAGGCCTATTCGCTCGTCGGGCGTTGCGAAATGAACAATAGAAGCTGATGTTACGAAACGAAAACTATCACTTCATTACCATGACAATCACAAAAAACAAAACAAGAACACAAATACGCACACGTTGAAAAACACAGAAAAGGAGATGTCTTAATGACTCGCGTTTCGACGTCCGATTCCGTTGGCGTTCTCTAAGTCTCGCGCTTACAGTTGTGGCGTGGCCTCTGGTCCGCTGGGAGTCCCTCTCAGGCGTGATGACACGCCGTATCGATGCTCAACGGTGGCGACGATGTCGAAGACCCACTACAGTGGTAGCTCCAGTGGTTTCTCGCCGAGGCAGGTGCTCGCGCGGGATACACTGCAGACCAGGGTCGGTGGTGACTCCGGGGCTGCTCGCCGAGGTCGGTGCTCGGGCGGGAAACTGCAGCCCAGAATCGGCGGTGGTTCCGGGGCTGCTCGCCGAGGTCGGTGCTCGGGCGGGAAACTGCAGCCCAGGATCGGCGGTGGTTCCGGGGCTGCTCGCCGAGGTCGGTGCTCGGGCGGGAAAACGCAGCCCAGGATCGGCGGTGGTTCCGGGGCTGCTCGCCGAGGTTAGTGCTCGGGCGGGAAACTGCAGCCCAGGATCGGCGGTGGTTCCGGGGCTGCTCGCCGAGGTCGGTGCTCGGGCGGGAAACTGCAGCCCAGGATCGGCGGTGGTTCCGGGGCTGCTCGCCGAGGTCGGTGCTCGGGCGGGAAACTGCAGCCCAGGATCGGCGGTGGTTCCGGGGCTGCTCGCCGAGGTCAGTGCTCGGGCGGGAAACTGCAGCCCAGGATCGGCGGTGGTTCCGGGGCTGCTCGCCGAGGTCGGTGCTCGGGCGGGAAACTGCAGCCCAGGATCGGCGGTGGTTCCGGGGCTGCTCGCCGAGGTCGGTGCTCGGGCGGGAAAGTGCAGCCCAGGATCGGCGGTGGTTCCGGGGCTGCTCGCCGAGGTCGGTGTTCGGGCTGGAAACTGCAGCCCAGGATCCGCAGTTGCTCTGTGAGCTGCTCGCCGAGTCAGGTGCTCGGGTGA